ATTCACAATCTTTCTCATCAGCCGAACTACAACATTATAGTACTAAACATAAGCAGAATGATTATAACTAGAGAGTATGCTTATGATTTATATGTGGTTTACAGGTATAAACTATTATAAATTGGCCGTTGCGAAAGATCGTGACTCTATTTTTACGATGTTATCGGCGATATGGCAAATCGGAAATGGATGACATGGAAACCTATATCTATATACAATTTTTAGTTCGGAGACGGAGTCTGTCTGACCAGTGACCACGGTCCGATATTCAACAATGTCAATGAATTCAAATTGCTTGTTGACGGAAATAAATATTGTTCACGAATTGAGTTCAAAACAGCTAACCAATCCATGCATAGCCAATTCAAGGTCAACGTCACGCAGCGCATATCCCTCGCTTTATTTAACAATTATATTCGCCGAAGGCGAGGTGATTATCTGTGAATAAAAACCGAGACGAAGTCGAGGTTTTTATTCACGATAATCACTGAGCCTGAGGTGAATAATTGTTTTGTATAATTCATAGGTGCATGTTTATTTGGAAAAAAAATAAAAAATATACAAGTCTTCGTCATTTAATTGGCAAAACGGCTTCAGCCATAATTTCCAAAATCGCTTAGGTGATTATCGCGTTATAATGATCTCAACGGCAACCAATCAGAGTAGAGAATTTCAATTTGTGCTTTGAATAAAAGTCTTTGTCCCTTGAAAAGGTTTGCACTCTGCACTTTGAACTAAATTGTAGTTTGTTAGTTTTTTCAAAGAAACTTGCCTTCAATAATTGCTTTTTTGGTAAATATTCCAGGATTTTTTACATGCACTTGACAAACTTTTCACTGCATTTAATTTTAACTTAAGCATGGATTATGGCCTGTCTTATAATTTATTTGTTCCAAAATTATTATACTTCTTGGTTACCTATCAACGTTATCCTATATAATAACAGTCTATTTCAGCATGATTTTTGATAGGCCGGTTATTAATTCCAGGTTGACCAGAAAAATTTTAAAGCGGCTTATACTATAACAGACTCAACAATGTCTCATTCACAGCATAGTCATCAAGATTTGATGATCTGGAAACTTAACAGAAGTGTTTGTTATTTGTTTTGTCTGAATTTATGTTAATTTGTGCGCGGTCACGGTGTATATGCGGATAGCGTTCATTGTATTTTCGCATATATACACACGCAAAAATCTCACATCATGTAGCAAGTCTGCCAACAAGTTGTCTTTACACTGCTTGTCACAAGTTGTCAACAAGTTTGCATGGAACAAGCTGTTAACAATTTGTAACAACCTTGTTGATATTATCAGGCTTGTTACAAGGTTGTTCTAACAAGTCCGAACAGTCATGATATAGAAGTATTGTTATCACCTTGTGTCGTCAACCTTGTAACATTCTTGTTTATCATGCAGTACTGCATGTATCAGACTTGTTAGAACAACTTTGTGACAAGTCTGATAATGCCATCAAAGCTTGTTACAAAGCTTGTTACAGCTTGTTCCAAACTTGTTACAACAACTGGGAACAAGCAGTGCGAAAACAAGTTGTTGACAGCTTGTGAACAGATTTGTAACAACTTGTTTGCAGACTTGTTACAACTTGTGCGTTTTTACGTGTGTAATTAAATTAAGTAACCGTACCATCCAATAGGGATCGATAGCTGAGATGAAACTTGCAGCCACGATAATAACATTTGATGAAGTTGAGACAAAAGATTTGTGCACGGTGAGATACAGTTCAACATCAAACAAAGGTCTTCTATTTTGTGGCTTTGAAGTTTGCTGGGATTCCAGAGCATCATATCTTAATAGACCTTGTTCACAGCGGCGATTTAATCAATCCGAAATTGATTCGGAGCAGTTTCGGGCCAAGTTGTGGACAACTAGAAAGGAGTCCGATTTTAGATCGATCTAAACTAGAGCGCTTCTCAGATCGGTTAATGTTTTACAACCGAGCTATAATTTCTTGCTCAGCTAGCATGGTTAATTCGCCGGTTAATTCATTCAAGTTTTTAAATTAAGAAGTCCAAGGCCGAACCGGCCTCGGACCGGTTTGAAATCGCTAGGTGTGAACGTCCTCTCATTTGACAGATTGAACTTTGGGCCTAAACGCACATATCGAAAGTGTGGCCAATCATGACGTGGTGTTTGCTAGAAACACGAAGTCGAATCGTATGCAATTATATCGATCACAATGCGTGAACCCGGCTGTGAAAAAAGTATACTAAAAACTTTGACACTGACATTGATAGTATAAAAAGGCCGTTTCACCAGTTTCCGTTGGTAGGCCTGCAAAATACAAGGACAAATTCGACGTTTCGAGCGAATTAGGCCCTTCGTAACTTCCCGGCGGCAAAGTCGAAGGGCCTTTGCTCGAACTGTCGAATTTCTCCTTCTCCTTGTCCTTGTATATTTTTAGATAATTGCATACCTACCGTACGAAAGTTTTGTTATTATTGTCATTTTACCTACACTGGCACAAACCGTTAAGATTACTAAAAGTAAGAATACCCTATCGCTGAAATTAATAATTTAAATTCGTCCAATAATGCAATAATTTTACTTTTCTTCAGCAGATTTTTCTTGTTGAAGCATGTCATATCCTTGTTCTTGCCTGAGCGC